CGAAAAAGTTCAAACAAAAAAGGGTTTCACCAAACTTTCACGATCACCAGAGCATATAGCCTAGATTATATGGGTAAAAGGAAATCGAATAAAAACACGCGTCTCAGAAGTTGTTTTTTTTCATATGCTATTGGTATTATTCTCTTTTTGACTGCGGTAAAAGCTGTTACGCACGTTTTTCTTTTCTTGTCTATATTTCTTTTTTTCAACGAAGACAAAACACGTGAATGGTTTTTCCGTTATAAATCATGTCTGTTCTCGTCTTCAATTCAGCGTCCACTTTTCTTATCTTTTCAGAATTTTATCGTACGGTTGATTACTTTCAGACTATAATACCATTAACAGCTTTGGAATGGAAAATACTCGGTAATCGTCATTATTCGAATCATGAGTCATCGGCAGCTATTCAATCGTACAGTGAAGCAATTAAACTCGTTCAAACCATTCAGCAACAAGATGTCGACAACGTTCAGTTGTATCTATTATATTCAAATCGTTCGCTTGCTTATATTCAAGGTAAACATTTTTATTAGGTTTCGATGATGCTTAACAGTCGTTAAGCATTTTTTTTTTTTTTTTTTGTTGATACAACAAAAAGTGGCATGCATGGAAAAATGGCGAAAATCAGTTGTGACAGCAAAAAAATGTATAAACAGTCTTGAATATAATATTAAACAGTAAGTAAAAATGTGAGCAATATGAATGGAACTAGATTTATCATGTCTCGTTTCTTTTTTCAAGTCGAGTCTTAATGACCGAAATACCGTCTATTCTGTACCAAATTCGTTATTTGTTACGTGCACATTTTGAAAATAAAAAAGATAAAAAATTGATGAACATGAACACGGGTGATCTTGGTTTGAGGTTACACGAACTGGCCGTTGAATTCACCGCTGTATTTCACGTTTAAGTAAGTGGAATATATGGAAGGAATCTTTATTTCCCATTTACTTTTTGGCCTACGAAAAATTTTCTAGACCTTCACACCTAACGATAGATTATGCAGATACATTTTGTCGTGTCTCATAGACAAACAGCGATTTTTTGCAACACTACGTCCATTTATTTTGAACAATTCACTAGAGTGTAAAAATAACAAGGTTTTTATAATTCTTCTCCCCTTTCTTGGGCTATATATGAAGAACGGTGGAAAACCGGGTTTAACATGGCCCTATCCTATAGGCAGATGTCTTCTTCAACATGTTTCGCCAAAGAGATCAGACTTATTGAATATATTCGGTGATTCCTCTATATTTTTCTATTTTAATTTCCCATACTTTTAACGATAGTCGCAAGTTTTCAAATGTGTTCTCATAGAGCGAAGTACTTTCGAAAATCAAAGCTCAGTCGTTGAGTTTTTATTGTAAAAATACGAGAAAATGTTAGGTTTCCGAAGTAGGCATTTTTTTTAATAACTGTTTTAAGAAAAATGTTTTGAAACTCGAAAAATAGCCTTAGTGGGACTTATAGTAACCAAGATCTTTGTAAGAAAATGTAAGAACTCAAGAAATTTCAAGTAGTCAAGTTCTTGAACATATGGTAATTTCTTAACTTCTTGTACCAAGATCTTGGAAGGATCTATGACGCTATATGGTCGTATATCCAATGGCTATGACTGTCATGAATAAAAACAAAATGTAAAGAAAAATTTCCCTCAAGATCTTGAAGCTTCTGTTCGTGAGATCTTGGTCATCTTGGGTCAAAGATTCAAGAGCCCAAGATTTTGACTTCCTTGTGTTTGTTCCAAGATCTTGTGACATTTCTCTTAACCAAAAATCTTGAATACAAGAAGTTCCACTAGGGGATAGATTTTGTTCATGACGTCTAGCGCTAAAAGATTTGGTAGAGCATTTCTATAATGTGCTGAGAATAAATAAATACTAAAAGCATCGAATTTTGGAGAAACATTAGGAAAAATCTTTTCCTTCTTTACAGCCAACCTTGAGATGAAAATCTGCAAAAAAGATTTCTTTTGTCCAAAATTAAATTATCTTTTAGTTCTCACGATGTTTATTCAATCTCCTCTCTCTTAACTGTTGCGTTATTTAGAAAGTCGTCATGGCTGATCCACTGTTCCAAGATCTTATTTTGAATGAACTGCTCGATGTTGGAGCATTACGTATCAAAGTTGATGAACAACGTGGTCGACAAGCCGATGATGAGAATTTTGACAGGATGTTTGAACTAGAAGAAAAAGCCGAACATGATTGGGCTGGCATATGTGAGTATCTTGTGTGTAATTTAGAAAAGAAAGGACAAAATTATTTTTCTGTAGGAATTTTCATTTTTCACAAATAATCTGTTGGCATCATTGGTCGCCGATTGTTCATATGAGCAAGTGTCGTTGCGTGCACTAAAACAAATTCATCGTTTAACAACGAATAAAATCAAAGAGATAACATGTGAACAATGGAAAAAACAAACATCAACAACTATTCAACTGGTTCTCAAACAATTAAGTAGAAAAATTGAAGATAAAGGTCCGTTTGACCATTTTTTTGTTACTATATTTGAATATATGTAGTAGGCGCTGATGTAGAAATTGCAAAAGCTTTTTTGTGTGGTCACGCAAAAAAAGATGCAAAGATATAAGTGGGGTAACACAGAAATTGGTTACAAATCCGAATTTCTGTAAAATTCTGTACATGCTTCTGGAACAAAATATTGACAAAATTCTTGATTAAAACCAAATATTTATAAAATTCTGTATTAGTTTGACTAATATAGGATTTTGTAATTATTTTGTTCTAGAAGAATATACAGAATTTGGATTTGTAACCATTCTTCGCGTTGCTCCACTTGTGTTTTTACGGGATTCATGCAAAAAGAAGTTTTGGCTTTGGCGACATGGGCGCTATCTGTAAGTGAAAAGGTGTACATTTGAACGTGAGAAAGGAAGCAAGATTGTGAAACACACGAAAATAAAGAATATTTAACTTCTGCCTATTTGGAAGAAGTCATCAATTAAGTGACGTGTGGAACTCCTAGGCCATCTCGCCATTAAAACTTCATAGTAAATAGAACACAGTCTCTTCTATATAAGATCACTAGAACATTTGACAGAATTATGCCTCAAAGATGGAATTTTGCCAGAACGACGACTTTTTTAGATAATTTTTAGACATTTTTAGATATCGAATTTGTATGAAAGAAAAACGTTTTGTTGCCGAATATCGACACAAAAATGTCTGCAGATTATTTCTCAAGCAAAAATAAGTAGTTTAGGCATGCATCAGTGAAAAGTTGGTATTGGGATATCCGGAAAAATTGTTATACATCGGTTATCAAGATTCATTTAGAACTGCGAAACATCTCATTTTGTAGAAAAATGTTTATTCTACAAAATGCATTTTTTAATTTAGAATGCTAAAGTTATTTTTAACAAAACTTAGAGCATTCTAAATTGCACTAAATCACGATTGATCAACGTCAGTTTTTAACTGATGCATATCTGGTAGTTAGATGTACCACCAGAAACGAAAGTAAAAAAGTGACCTTTTATTCTGGATTTGTAGGTAAAATTAAAAAAATTAGAAAAAATTAATAATAGTGCCTTAATCGATTCAAGATGACACTGTAAATGGTTTTTAGTTTCCACGCTTTTGTTTGCGAATACTTGATTTTCACGAGGAATTCTACACGGTTTCGAAAAACCAGAGTCGGAAAGTGCACTAGGTGTTCACCGGATATATGCCAATTTCACTCCAGATACACCTGCTTCAGCCAATACCTTTACGCATGACACAGTCAAACAAGAGATTGAACAGGACGAGAGATAGAATCCCACCTTGTTGGACACTGGTTTCAATATCGAATGTTTCCGAAAAATCACCGTCGACTTGCACTTGTGCTTTCGTGTTAGTATAGAGAAGCTTTAGCATTCGAATGAAATGCGAAATAGTCCATGTGAAGATACATCTTCTCTGAGAATTTCGCTGAAAAATGTGTTTTGGGAGAAAAGTGGACTTTATTGATTTTTGATCAGGCTCGCCCTCTATAAAACGACACTTATAACTGGACAAAGAAACATTTTTAGAGCACCATCTTCTGGCTGCAAGCTAGTCTACATTAGTCCTGTATATGGTAAAATTAGAGCCCGATCAGTGACATCAAGTATCTCGGTCTGTCGGACCCTATTAGATAATGGCTCTTAAAAGCATCGAAATGAAGAAAATTTTTTTATACAAAGTAATGTCCTCATGATTCTTTGTCTCCGCTCATCGCTGGTGCGTAACAAACATTGCTATGATAGCGTTCCTCTTTCCGTCTCGGTTTGATTTTATTTACTTAATTTCAGGCACCTCATATATGACTGTATTGACTACATTTATCTCTTATTAGCACGTGTCACGTGCATCCCGCAAACATTTGTCTGTGAACACCAGACTTTGAAGATTATTCAAGTCACTGCGTAGAAGAATGGCCACGAGTAGTCTATTGTTTGATCTTAATCAATTAACAGACGAACAAAAAACAAAATTTCATACTGTTTACAATCACTTAAAATCGGCTCGTGCATCCTATCTAGAATATAAATATGGATTACAAGAGAAAACTAAAATCGATAGTGAAGAAGAAGAAAATGAATGGCACTATGAATTGTACAGATATCTTCGTGCTCGAAAATGGAATATTGCACATACTATCAAATCTATTCAGGATATGATACAATGGCGAATAGACAACCGTGTTGATTTGATTCTTGATCATCTACCGACATCACCTTTAATCGACCGCATTCGAAAAGGCCTTCCGGCTGCTAATCATGGCTATACAAAAGCTCATCTGCTATTGTATATCGAGAAAACGGGTCTAATGCATGTCGATTATCTATTGCATCAATTTACGACAGACGAATTGATCCAAAATCATATCTATTTACTTGAATTCAATTGTCAACTGACAAGAGAGCGTAGTCGACAAGCGGGAAAACATGTGGAAAATTTTGCCCTGATATATGATTTAAAGGGCTGCAAACCAGATATAAGAAAAACGCTTCATATATTAAAACAATTAATCTATATAGATGATAACTATTATCCTGAACGCCTAGGACAAATGTTTGTTATAAATCCACCATTGATTTTTCCTGCTATATGGAATCTAGTGAAACATTGGGTTGACCCGGTAACGAAAGCAAAAGTCAATATCCTTAAAAAAGGTCCTGACACATCAGCAACGTTGTTACAGCACATTGATTCAGATCAATTGCCATCTGAATATGGTGGTAGTTGTGATTCATGTCCGACTTCTCCGGATTGTATTCCTGTATATGACTGGAGTAAAGACACTAGAAAGGTTAAAGAGGAACAATCGAGTGTGGCTCCTTAATATATCAAGCAACGTTGTCAAACTCATCGAGACCCCGTTTCTTAATTCAGATAGAACGACAAGAAACTATCAGAACACTTATCACTACCTAATACTTTTATGATTTAGTAACCAGAAATAATTGCAAACATAATACACTTTGAGTTTACAAAGAAAGTCTTTTTAATCAAACAGCTTTTTTTATAGAATTTAATAATTCCATAATCAAAAATTGATATGAATGTCTGCCTGCTACCATGACTAAGAGGAACCTACGATCGTTTGGTGGGCGCAATATGATTATGAAGAGAAGAATGGGATGTATCCGCAATAAAAAAGAAAAATGAGTTATTGTGGTTCAAATGTATTCCTTTTTCATTTCACATAGGGAAAACAAATTGGTTTTGTAGTTTGCTCGTATGGGAAAAACAACAAACAAATAAACATGATTATCGTTTTTCGATTTTAATTATAAGGAAGAAGCAGTAAAGAAAAACGTCTATTATTGTATGAGGTACTTGTAGACGGTCAAAAATACAAGCAGAAAATAATTTTTCTTTATTTTTTTTCCTCCGTTTGATGCGAGCAAGGATATTTATGCGAGCAAAGGATATTTATGTTATTTGTATTTTTCCAGATATATGAAGAGAGTAAAGACACTTAAATATGAAAACATAGACGCGAATTTAGTGGACAAACGGAATCAAGGAAAAAATAAAACAGAAAAAGCTTATTGCATTCGAGTGAAGGAATTGATTTGGTGAAACGTTACGTACTTTCACATTTTTTGGATGTCTTTGCGTCATCATGCAGTCAAGTAGTTACTGTATAAAGATATAAAAAGCGAAATTTGGAATTTTTAAGTTTTGAAGAAAAACCGGGTTTTTGAACATTAAAACCCGATTTCGCCTATAAAAATACGTTTTCATCAAAACCAACGTCATATTCTTGCCCAGCGTCATAAACTGCGTGTAGTGATGTGTTATTTGAACTTTTAGCAAAAAGTTTTCTTTCATCTAAAAAAAGTGCCTTTAGTCGTTCCCTCTCACGTGTTTAGTGAGTAGAACGCCTTCAGGCGTTATTTTTCATCCAAACTTAAAATCTAAAAATTTCTCTTTTTATATCTCTGTACAGTAATTACTTGACCACATGATGATGCACAGGCATCCAGAAATGTTTGCTCTCCTGTGCCGAAAACACATTTCAAAAATAGTCTTAAAATAAAATGACTAATCATTGATCACGTGGCACATGTGACTGAGAGCATTGGCAGCCTAGGCATCAACTTAACTAATGACGCAAACCCGACTCCTCTATCACTTACAAAACTGAGATAATTTAATTTACTGGAACTAGTGGCTCATTCTTAAACCTCTATTTTTGCCCCGGGGCTGGTTTTGAATACGTTATAGCTCAGCAACCATACATTATTTTTTCAATCGGCAAACTTCATGTTACTCAGAAATGTTTGCTCTTCCATATTAGGTCAAAAAAGTTGAAATATTTTTTATATTTAAGCTATTCTATATCCCGTTTATAGGAGATCTCAAAAGGAATTTTACAAAGCCCTAAGATTTTTCAAGTGTTTCTGGAAAACCCAGTAACAAAAGTATGCTTTTCTGATTTTTCGATCTTATAATCACGCTTAGCGGAGAAAATTAACCATATCCTGAAATTTTGAAGCTAGAGATTTTGGGGTAATACAAAACACGATAAAAGAAAAAGGACGCTTTAGGGAAAAGTTGCCGTCAACATAACAGCATTTTTGATGCTTCCAGTAAATCTCTCATAGCTTTTCATCAGGACATTGCCCAGATTTGTTCAACATCTCATTTTTGATGACATTCACTTTGGAAAGACTTTAGAAAGCTTTTTCGGAAATCCTCAGAAACTACTGATATCGTCAGAAGCAGTACGGATCCGAATAGTAGACATTATAACGTATCCAGTCATATGCTGATCTTACTATTCGCATTTTACAAAAAGATCTGGCTTGTGAACGATCATTCTGAAAAAAAGAGGATAGAAGAGGATGTTCTAAATTTTTTTTGAGAGGATTGGTGTCGAAAAAAGAGGAGAAAAAGAGGATTTTTTTCTGATCTAAAAGTGTATTGTAGATCTTAGTACGTTCGAAGGTGATAAGACACGGCACTGCTGAGGTATTCACCTAATTTATTCATGATTTCATACACAAAAAAACACGTATAGAGAACAAATAACTAGCTGAGAATAGCAAAACATCTGACATCTGACCGTTCTATTAATATAAGTAAATTCTTCTTAATTTCCACTTTTATCACTTGGGATAGTGGACTGCTGATGAGCCAATTTTTGTTTCTTTTTTGACTGTTCATGTTCAGCACGTGTGCGTTTTTGCTGAATTTTCGATAGCTTCTCCATTGTCTTTGACATTTCTTCGCTGGTTGATGTCCATTTATCATTTCCGGTCTGGATCAATGCATGCGCAGCTTGTGCATCAGTTAGATCGCGTTTCTTCAACGAATTTTCCAAACGTCGAGTTCCTTCTTCGATCAACAGTTGAGCCACTTTTTGAACTGAAGTTGGTGATGTTTCGACATGAGTTCTCTCTCATGTTCAAGTAATCTCTTCTTTTCAATTTCGGCATTTTCACGTTGTTTATTTTCTTGTTCATTAGCAGCAACGAGTGCTTTCATTCTCAACATTTCTTCCTTGTACGATGACGCTGCTCTTTGAACCGAACGAATTGTTTCTATGCCAATGGACATCTGCAAAAGGGACCCATTACACCCTGTTCACTTCGTCCATAATTTTACCTTGTGAGCTGATCCAGAACCATGCGATCTCACCGCATCATACGTTGAACGGAGACCATTGATGTATTTTTCGGACAGCAGAGTGCGATTGTCGGTCACGATATTTTGATTGATGCTAAACTCACGTTCTGCATCCGCATTGCCATGTGAAATGATGAGAACGTTCTTGATGAGTTTGGTCATAGTCGGATATTTCGATTGTCCACTATTTCGGAGGATTGACAATACATTGTTCCAATAAAAATCGATTCGTTGATATTCGAGACGCTCCTTTCCATCCGAATCTTGATAACTTCGTTTGATTATCCATGATTCATCGATTTTTTCAAGTGAATACGAGAGCCACTCAGCACGTAGAAGATCAATTTCATTTGATAATAGTAGGCCCGGTACAGAGCGACCGACACGAACGATTGCATCACTTTCACTTGGATCGGAACGATGAGAACTGTCTAATATTTGCACATCACGCAAAAACGAATTGTTCAATGGAAGATTCAATTTGAGGTATGCGGCGATAGCATGATAAATTGCTTTCACTTGTTGAATAAATAGTTCACGTTCGTCTTTGGATAACAACTACATCGATTTTCTCGTTTCTTCTCCTATATAGAGAAATTCTTAAACAGGGCGTATTTGCTTTATTCCTTACCAATTCGTATTTGTTTATTATCAAGTTGTTTTTCAGCTAATGTATAATCGATCGATAGTAATTCACCACCTTGCCTATTTCCAATGTAATGTGGTGTTAGAAAAGACAATAATACGGTACGATACAGGTCGGACAATTCTTGATGCAATAGATGGATTAATGGTCCTTCTTGCTGAAACCGTGTTATAAATTTGTCAAAAATCGCACGACATAAATATGAGATAAAGAATAGATGAGTTTTTGAGATGTGTGAAGACAAATTCGAATTGATTGCATCATATTTGGTATTTTCTGTCATCTGTGCCTTCTCATGTGCAGGCAAATACACAAAAAAATATTTGCCTAGAACATCCCATTGTTCTAAATAAATCACCAAAATTATTATGTCAAATATCTTGTCAGAATACGTACTTAAAACTCGATCGATCACTTTACCGAGTAATACCCAACGTGTTGTAACGAAATAAAGAATGGTCTTTTCCACTGTATCATTGAGCTCGTCAATAATTTTGAGAAAATCTTCTTTCCTTGCGGGAGATTGACGAAATCATGACCATATCCTGGTGCAAATGTTTTGAATGTCCCAGCGTGATGCAGTTGTGCCTTAATGGAAAAAAATAATCAACATTGAGTTTTACCTTTTTCCAGTTTCTCACCTGCTTTAAATGCATTGTGTACAACATGGATATGACACGGATCAATTTTCAGCAGTTCTCCACCGACTTTTGTCATTTCTTCATCGATCAATTTTTCTAACGATTTGTTTACGTTTGGGTTATCATGTCCAATCATCAATAGACGTTTTAGTTCAATTCCGTCCGTTTTAAATGATTCGACAATACAATCACGGATCACTGCAGCTTGTGCGTGTCCCAGGAGAACAGATTTATAATAGCGAGTGACAACAGTTTTTTTTCCACACCGCAGTGCTTGAACAGTAGATCCACTTGCTTGTTATTTTGATTATTGGTTTGTTCATCGAAACATAATACGAACCGTTCACAACGTTTGATATCATCAACAAGATCACGATGAAAATACGGTCCCAAACCGTGTGAAACAACATAAGACATTTTTGTTCGCTCCATACTGAATTGCTCGGCTACTTTCGAGTCAGGGAACATTACTCGAAATAAATCGCCAGCTTCATCACATGAATGTTAGCTATATCCATGTTGAGCCGCATTGATAGCCCATACTGCTTCAGCACGAGTCACTTGATCTTGAAAACTAATAATTTTGATAGGATGCGTTAGTGTGGCGGTTGAGATGATCGATGATGTCGAAGGTTGTTGTAACTGGATGTTGCTTGTTTGTGTTACGTTGATGAATGTTGCATTTCCTTTGATCAATTTCACATTCTCACGATGTTTGTTTTTGCTCATGTGTTGTTCGATCGATTGCCATCCTTTATTGCCACAATCTAACTCATCAGTTTTACACGTTGTACAGATCAACGTCCAGTCTTTCATACCTTGTGTCAGCTATCGTCTCACAGAAATGCCCCCAGGATCCGTTTTTTCCAACCATGCTTGGCTAAATTTCGTTTTATGTACCGGCATAGATATAAAGCATATATCTAAAAAATAAGAGATAAACCACCTTTATAATCATGAAAATAGACTAGTTTTTGTTAGAGACGTTTCGTCTTTATTCAAAAGACATCAGCAGTCAAATGTGAGAGACGATAGTTGAAATTTACATTGAAAGTCATTCATTCATTGAAGTCAAAATGAAATACATATATGTAGCACGCATTCAGTCGTCATATATTGTGAAAAAAGGAAAAGTTGTATTTTATCTGTTTTGCGTTCTACATATATGTATTTAATCTTTTCTTTTTATTTTGAATCAACTGTCGTGTGTCACGTTTGACTGATGATGTCTTTTGAATAAACACGAAACGTCTCTCACAGAAAATAGTCTATTTTCATGATTATAAAGGTGGTTTATCTCTTATTTTCTGTATCGAAATTCTTCACCTTAAAAAATGATTAGATATATTTAAAACTATATTCGAATCTAAACTTTAGATTATCTAAAGTTGCTAAAACTCAGACATTTTTGTAACAAAATTATCGAAAAAGAGGAAAAATGACGAGAAAAGAGGAGGAAGAGGATGGGTTCTGAAAAAAAGGGGATCATTCACAACCCAGAAAAAAGATTCGTATTTCTATGGCGGAGCGACTCTGAATTATAACTGTCATTGAGAAGCGTGAATGAGCTGAGAAAACGAAAAAAGAGAACTCTCAAAATTATTACCTGATATTGATTTGTTTCAAAACATAGCCGCTCAATCGAAGTTATTTTATTGTTAAAAATAACATAACTGCCATTTCTATATTATATACAATACACAAGTTCATACGGGTGGTTGGGAGAAAAGCAAACGGAGAACAAGAACATATTAGTTTTCTTCAGTCCCAGATAGATGTCATGAAGTGAACTCATTGGCCGGTATCTTATCGCACTTTTCGTTTACAGTCAACGGATACAAATCATCCATATATTTGGTTGTGTGAATAAACCAAGGGGGAAAAAGCGGAATGGGCTGGAATGAGACGGAATGGCCCATTCCGTCCGACCATTCCATACCACTCCATACCATTTTTTACAGTTTTTCCATTCTCCTTTTTTGAGAGGCTTATGGAATGCGCCCGAATGGGCCACATTGGCGCTGAATGAGAACTTCCATTCCCTTGACTGTAAAGGTCTCGTAAAAAATAAAATGCCTGTATGTATGTTTGCATGTATGTATGTCTACAGAGCGACAACCAAAATTGCTCTAGACAACAAGTAATTGACGCAGTCATTCAGGTTTTCGAATATTTCTAAATGACTAATAATTTTACGTAAACGAGCAGTCCATGCCATTCAACTCCATTATCAATATTCTTATCATAGCACACAAGGGTAAGATCATCCAATGTTAAAACATTGCTATTGTTGTTATTCCGTATAACAGAAAACATTTCTTCCATTGATAACTGACACTAATAATAAGATACAAATGATACCTTACTTAGAAAAAGGTAGGTTTTTCACCGTCAGATGTGCTCAGAAGTTCATAATTTGCTGTCAAAAATATCCTTATGTACGATGGGATAAAAGTATAAAAAACCCATCGTATTACTTTTGGTATTTTCGATGGCATTATAAAAAGATGTATGCCCAAGCTAAAAATATCAAACTCTGTAGATCTTGAGTGCGTGGTTTTCTAGTAATCCCAAAGAAATCCTAATATGGACAGAAAATTTGGAAACATTGTTCTATAAGATAGAATAATATCCTGCTCTTCGGAATGGATTGCGTTCTTTTATCAAAACGATCGAAAAGACTTTCACTTAGAACGGCCTCCCGAGGTTATAGAAAAGTCCAATGAAACTTTAGCTGAAGCTTTTAAACTTTAGCCCTTATGATAACATTAAGTTGATGCATTAAGAGAGATTTATGACGATATCGAGCGTTAGCTCCATGAGTCATAACATAGTTAAAATTTGATTATTAATGCAGCTGTTTTGAACTTCATTTTATTTTTATTTTTATTTTTGTAATATTTCGACTCTTTATACGGTCATTTTCAAACGTACAAGTGATTGTACATAAAAGTAAAACTTATATATACAACTTCTTTTCTTTTTCTTTCTTTTCTTTTTGACGTACTAGTCTGAAAGAAAAGTCCACAATCATTCTAGAATACATGTGTTGTTTTTTTATGCGCATTTAAAAATACTAGTCATGCAGCATTATCAATACATGATCGTAAAGTATTT